CGTTCCGCTCCTTGAGCAGGTTCTTGGTCTCCCGTCCTCTCTTGGTCCTGCTCCTCTCTTAGAGTGTCCGCCGCCTGTCCAGTCCGACGGCAGTTACGTTGTTACGCTCGTTGCTTTGACGGGTTTTTTCTTGTGTTGTTGAACCGAATTTCTGTGACACTGACCCGTGCAAGCCTTTCCACGGCCTCTCATGTGTGTGGCAGGTCGACGTGACACACGTGCTGCAGATGGTGGACAACACCAGGCTCACCCTCCGCAACCGTTACCTGAGTGACGCGGACGACTTCGGAGAGGGGAGCAACGAGCTGAGCGCCTTTTTGGCGAAGCATGCGTCGTCGGAGAAGAGGGTGGTGAAGGTGACGGGCACCGACTCGACTGGGGCGCCAACCACTCATGAGTACACCCTCCATGAGCAGAAGATTAAAGGTCAGAAATCTGGCGGGGGCTTGGACGACTGCATCACACTGGCGAAGGGGTACGTGAAGGAGCTGCTGAAGCGTTTGGAGAGCCGGATGAAGGATTTGGGCTCTCTCGAGGGCGCCAAGCTGTTCACGCAGGGGGCGTACCCGAAATCTCACTCGAAGCGGCAGCGGCGGTTCTTGCAGTGGCTGGAGGCTCTCCGCAATCTGTTTAAGCGAAAACCGACCGACCCTGACACCCTGCCAGGTACGTCTTCGATGTCGGTTGTGCCTGATTGAGTCGGACATGTTGTTTGTGTCGCCATATGCCTCGTTGATTTCTTTGAGCCTGATGACTTATGAACACCAGCGCGGTCTAACATTACACTTCTTTCTGATTCGCACCCTACCACTAGGAGTCAACTGGACGAGGGCACAGAAGGAGCTCAGCGGTTTCACCACCATCATGTCATCCCATCAGCAGGAGCTGAGCTTCCAGGACGGCCTGAAGCAGATGCTCAGCTCCCCCGACTGGTGCACTGCCTACCCCAACCTGGTCCGCCTTTGGATGGCAGTCGCAGTGCTGCCCCTGAGCACCGTGGAGTGCGAGCGGGGCTTCTCCCGCCAGAACATCATCAAGAGCTGGCTACGCGGCAATCTTAACGACGCGAAGCTGGGCGACCTGATGACCGTCTCCATGCTGAAGTACGAACCTGACTGGCCCGCCCTTGTGGAGCTGTGGAGAGGCGCGGAGAGGAGGCGTCCAGCCAAGGATGTGGTGATGGTGCATGCGCAGAGGCCCGTGAAGCGCACGAAGAAGACCCTTGCGATGCTGGCCGCGAAGCAGGCGGCAGCAACAGCAGCAGCAGATGCTGTTGCTCGTGAAGCAGCAGCTGCAGAAGAAGCAGCCAGGCTAGAGGAGGAGTTGGGCCCCTGGCAGAGACGGGCAGGCCACGGCAAAGTGCACATGGCTTCAGATTCAGAGCTAGACGGGGACGATGAGGAAGATTATTCTCATGATAGCGATAGTGAATCCTAGTTCGTTTTCTTTGTATGGTTATCTGTAGTAATAGAGTATAGTCGGTATGTAGAGTAGACTACATAGTTAAATAAATGTCTGATTTCGTAAAAATCTGTCTGAGCGGACATACTAACTTAGAAAATTCGTCTGAGGCAAAGACCACCAGGAATCCTCCATATGAGGGCCTTTTTGGAAAACGTCAGACGGGCCTAAAAGTTAGCAAGAGCCCTGAAGAGCGCCTATCTTTCTCAGTTGTACATCAGGGCCCTAGATACGGTATCAGACTTTGTAGTCTGATTCAGAGTCCGTTCAGACTTTTTTTTTGTACCTAGTCTGAAGTCTAAGAATATCTTTATGTACCTTGTCTGATTTTTCAGAGTTTTTTTTTTTTTTTTTTTTTTTTTTTTTAATTGAAAGTATACATCACAAACATAAATGCATACTACTCAATAGCGGTCGTAACCGTGCGTGAGTGAGCAGAGGCTGTCTGCTCAGCAACGGACCTAGGGTGGGTTGTAAACTGTCCTTGGATTGGTCCAGATGGACTCGAAACCTCTGGTCCACACCCACTTCTTATCGCTTGCCAGCCGTATCCTGCCCAGCATCCGTTGTTCCTCCAATAGCCCTTTGAGAAAGTTGCCAGCCTGTGCCGAGTCCTTCCGCTTCTGCCACGCTGTCGAGCGTGCTTTCGTGTAAACCCTCGCATGCTGGCGGAAAGCCAACAGGACTCTTCTCAGGACTCGGCGCGCACGGAATTTGCGCTCCCGGAAAACTGCCTCGCATCTTTCCAGCCAGATTTGATGTAGTGTTATCGCGATGAGCGTTGCCTCGGGGAAAGCTGTGCAGGTCCCCGCCTTGTGAAAGAGGAGATCTTCCAGCGAATTCGTGGTGCGGAGAGGGTTCAACATGCGGAGGGCCCACTTCAACGCAATGATCACACTCTGGATCTTTGGGTAGGCGAAGAGGCAATGCTCCAATGTCTCCACGCTTTTACAGTGCGGACACACGGGCTTGTCGCTTAGAAAGGCCAGCCTTTCACCCACTTGAAGGTTGAAGTTGTACACCCTCGTGAGAACATCTCTTGGTCTGCTTGGGGTGACGAGTGATTCCCTGATGCCCAAAATTTTTTTCCAGTTGATCGGTCCGCTCCACCTGCCTGCCCATCGTAGCATACGATGAGAGTTTTGCTTTATGAGTTGTCTGAAATTTCAGCCTAATTTTATTAGTGTAGGCTGAGCCTCATACTTGTATCGGGGGTGCCCCCTGTAACCCGTAATACAGCGGTTTCCGCCAGCCTGGTGGCGTGTAGCACTCACCGTCAATCACGGGCGGGAAACCAAAATTTCCCGAGCGCGGCACCGCAAACTCCCGAGCAGGGTCCTCGCTAGGTTTTGAACCCCCCTGATGCGTCAGATGGGCCCATCGGGCACACGCTTGCCTTGTCACACCACTTTTGCCCTCTATCACACCGAAGAGTCAAACCTGTCAGGGCAAAAATCCGCCCTGTCAAGGAAGAGATTCGCCCTGCCTAGGGTGAAGTGCGAAGGTTCGCCTTGTACAGAGCGAAGAGATTCGCCCTGTACAGAGCGAAGTGCGAAAATTCGCCCTGTCAGGGTGAAGATTCTAACTGTCAGGGCAAAGATTCGCCCTGCCTAGGCAGAGATTTGCCTTGTCAGGGTAGAGATTCGCCTTGTCAGAGTAGAGATTCGCCTTGTCAGAGCTGTAAATCTCGTTATTCTATGTTTCAGTTTAAGACAAAACAGAAATTGTGTTTAACTCTGAACGTTCAGCGTAAAAAACGTAGTGTTGTCTGAATTTTCAGACTAGAAAAAATAGGTAACTCTGACAGCCAGACTAGGAAGAGGGGTGTACTCTGAGGCGTCAGACTACCTCACAACGAATCTAGGGGCCTGTTGTACATGATAGCAAATATTTCAAGTATCCCAGAAAAAATAAGAACAATAATGTACAGATGAAACCTATCCAGGTGCTGTCCTAGAAATCGAGGTTTGGCACATATTGTAAGATGCATTCTTTAGATCGAGGTTTGGTAGTCAAAATCCCATCACTCGTCACCACTCGTCGCCATACTGTCGCCATGGAAGACTTTCTCACGCCGCATCCCTCTCAAGCGCTCGCCTGGTCATCCGCCGTCTCGGCCGGCATCCATTGCGCCAACTCCGCAGTTCCCGGCAAAACCGCCCTCCTTTCAACACTCTTTGCGGGAGACTACGACCAACTCGTCGTGTGCGCAGGGTAGTGAAATATCGGCGCGCAGGTGAGACGCCGGCGTGGGTTGCGCTAGCGGGAAGTACCGGTGCACCAGCGTCCATACTTTCTCCCAACTCCCTCGACCCCCCTGCCCCACTCCCATTCACGCTCTCAGCTCCCCGTACTGCTAGGTTGTGACGCGATTCTTGCAAACTAAGGCACCGCCACGTGGTTCTATTCGGGGATGCAGGGATGTGTGGCTGTGGGGTTGCGGGGTGCTCTTTGCTGTGCTGCTCCGCGCGCATCCTCTGTTGAGCCCACCTTGAACCAATCGTGCACCAAGTTACATTGCCACAGCTCTTGTTGCTCGCTCACGCCACCCCTCACAATGCTGCTCGTGCCTCCCACGCCTCTGTGCACGCATGCATGTTCATATGTGTGCACGTGAATGTATATGTGTGCGTGCGTGCGTGCATTCTGTTCGTGTAGGAGGGTGGTGGTGAGGCAGGCGTCGGAGAGACTGCGGCCACACATGGAGAGACGCACGAGCTGCCGGGGGGAGAGGGGGGGGAGGGGGGGGAGAGGGGAGGGAGGGGAGGGAGAAGGGGGATGAGAAGTTAAGCGGAGTCTGTTTTTGCGTTCTCTTGAGAAACACACACGGAGGGACGGATGAGGGGGGTTGGTGGGGAGGAGCTAGGGGATGGGGGAAGGGAGCGTGGCGAGAATGAAGGGTAGAGGGGAGGAGGATGGGAGTGAAAAAAACGGAATGAGGGAAGGAAGGTTGCAGAAGAAAACGGGTTCAACGGGGAGAGGAGGACGGCATACAGTGATGGTGGTGCCAGCACGGTCGCGAGAGACAACAGGTGCCTTGCAAAAGGGTGGGAGAGGAGGGAGTGGCAGGGTGGAAAGGGGCCACTTATTGAAACGTAAACGCGCCAATTGATTGTCCAGACAGTCAAACGCAAGACCCTGATTCACCCACGGCTGAAGGGACTCGACCCTCAGTAAACAGGCGGCTTTGACTTGCGATGCTAAAATGATTCAGTACAAATAAACGTCCTATTAACTACACTAGTCTATAGGTACAGTGTGTGTACGAGTGCAGTACAATCGTGGACAGATACCACAGCCTCTAGGAGCACCCACCCGTCACATGAGCCTCAGACAGGCACACTCGACAGCCATGCAGATCAACGAGTTCTAAACACCGCATCTCACCTCGACGAGCACAAGCTGACTTTCCTGCTCAATTCACCTCCCTTCTCCTCACCTCGCCTCACCCCACTTTCCCCACCCAACACGAGGTACATGATACACCCAGGCGCAGAGCGCCGTGAGAGCGCTCACCTCCAGCTTGGCAGCATCGCAGGTCAAGAGCGCGCGGTGCAGGTCCCCCTCGCCACAGCCAGCTCCGCCGCCACGCCGCCCACCAGCAGCAGCAGCGCGGGGTCATCCAGCCGCCTCTGCCGCCTCTGCGCGGAAGCGGAGGGGGCGGAAGCGCCGGCGACGGGAGAGGTTTCGCCCGCGCCCGTGCGGCGAGCGGAGGAGAGGCGGGAGGAATCATCGAAGTGGGCGAAATGGGCGGCCCTCTGCCGTGTGATCGAGAGGAATCGACGGCGTGCCACGTCACCCGCATCCCACGCTGGCACCGCCTCCGTCAACGAGTCTCGCGTCAGCGCTAGCATGTCCAGAATCCGTCCCAGCTGTAGCGCTATCGCCAGCCGTACGATGATCGGCAATAGTGGCATCCGCAGAATCATCAGCTGTACGATCTACAAGCACTCTAGGGAAGCCTCCCTCGGCACGTTCATCAGGCCGTTCATGGCCATCCGTTCAGTCGTGCTCATCGCCGTTCAAAGCGGTAAGAACCGGTGCATCCCTGGGAGTGCGCTCGGCGTCATCTGTGTCGTCCTCTGCGTCTTGAAAGGAAGCTATGGGTGGCGTCGCACGGCTCCCAGCGACTCCTCACGGCATGGATCTCGTTCGCACACCTCGCGAACCGTCGCTGAGCGACTGCTCCGAGGGTTCTCGCCGCACCATTTTGACAAGCTAGTGAAGTATCGTCAAACGTTCTGCGTGGTTTGTAGTCGGGAAGGTTCGGGTTTTTGTCAACCATATGTGGTCGTCAAAATCTTTCGCGAACGTCGACCAAATGGGCAACAGAAAGTCAATAACTAGACGGTCCTAAAAATTGTTTGCAAATTTGACAGGCTGGTTGGCCGATTTGCTGCCCGGTTTGTGATTGTGTTTTGTAATTCGGGTGCTGGGCTTTCACTTATAAGTGCATAGGAACTTCAATTGTAAAAGCAGAACACCCATGCAGCCTCAAACGGGTACCTAAGTAGACAACTTGGAGCACTTCGTGAGAACAATGGATGGACCAACCTCCTCAAACTCGCTCTTCGTAATACACATCTGCATCACCAAGGGTCTATCAGTGCAAAAAAAGAATCAAGGAAGCCATAGAGCAATAGAAAATGCAGAAAACGCATACCTGCTGGAAGGTGCTCAGAGACGCATACATGGATCCACCAATCCACGCACTGTACTTCCGCTCAGGTGGAGCAACCACCTTAGTGCACATGGTGGGTGCCAGCTGAGTCACTTCCTTGGTCATGCGAGCAGCGATTCCAGGGATCAAAGTGGTGCCGCCGCTGAGAACAATGTTGCTGCACAGGTCCCGCCTGATACCTTCGTCACACTTCATGATGCTGTTGTAGCACAGCTCATGAATACCACCCGAGCCTTCCTTTCCAGCCAGCGACGGGTTGAAGAGCGCTTCTGGGCACCTAAACCGCTCAGAACCAACGGTAATAACCTGGCCATCAGGAAGCTCATAACTCTGCTCCAAAGTAGACGAGCTGTCTACAGTCGCCATCTCCTGTTCGAAGTCAATTGCAACGTAAGCGAGCCTCTCCTTGATGTCCCTCACAATTACCCGCTCGGCAGATGTGGAGGAGTAAACCCTCTCACTTAACAGCGAAACCAGGTAATCAGTCAAATCACGTCCGGCAAGATCCGAACGGAGAGTCGCGTCCGGCAGAGCGTAACCCTCGTGGATGGGGACAGCGTGGGTCACACCATCACCGGATTCCAGAACCATACCTGAAAACCAAAGCAGGATATTAGCAGCAGAAACACATTGCAAATGCGACTGCATGGAGAAACAAGCCAGAACTTACCAGTGGTATGACCGCTGGCATATAAGGAGAGCACGGCCTGAATGGCGACATACACCGCCGGCACGTTGAAAGTCTCAAACATAACCAGCGTCATCCTTTCGCGATTCGCCTCGGGATTCATAGGAGGTTCAGTCAGAAGCACCGGACGCTCCTCTGGAGTGACACGAAGCTCATTGTAGAAGGTGTGGTGCCAAATCTTTTCCATGTCGTCCCAGTTCGTCACAATACCTGGAACGTCAAAACACGCGAAGGTCACAGCGAGAAAAATAATTATGGCCAAGTGTGCGTATTTATTCATTCAGCAAAGTTAATCTCACCGTGCTCGATGGGATACTTCAGCGCCAAATCTCCACGCTTGGCCACGGCTTCATCCCCAACGTAAGCATCCTTATTCGCATCCCACCAGGTGCCCCTGTCTTCACCACCGGGGCGACGACGACCAACAATGCTGGGAAACGCAGCACTTGGCTCGTTATCTCCAGCGACTCCGGCCTGGAATATAAGGCTCACAGTGCATTAGACGGAAAACACGAGCATGATAAATCGACAATGCCAATGCTACTCACCTTCATTGTGCCGGATCCGTTGTCGATCACAACAGCCTGCGTGTCGTCCATGTTGAACAATCTTCACTGTGGAAGGACATTACCCAAAGCGAAAGAAAGAAAGGAATCATGAAATCGCCTATGCAGTTCAGTGATCATGCCTAGTGTGTTCAAAGATCGCCTATCGCCAGTCGTGCTTACCAGGCCGGGAGGAGGAAGGTAGGGATGACTTGCTGTGAGTGCCAAACGAAATCAGGGCGGAAATAAAAAGCGCTACAATACCTTTCTGTTGCACCTCAACAGAAATCTTCGTGGTGTAAACAAGGGACGACGGCCATTCGACAGTTTGTACAGTATCTTGACTGCTGACTGGATCTACAAGAGCCACGCCTAACTAGGTAGGGGATGTAAGTGTGCCGGAAGGTGAATGACATCCATGCCGTCCATCCGTCCCGCGGATAGATTGTGGGATGTCATCTGACGGAGGTCCGATGACATCTCCCAGCAGAGGATTGACGGCATCGGCAGAAGGCACGAGAGTGGGGCGGAAGGGGGGAGTGGACGAGGATGGGCGAGTACAGACTGGGCAAACGCTTGCCTGGCGCGCTGTCCGGACATGTCAAGATGAAAGTTCCACGACCACGAACTGTTGCATCACGGCGAACAAGGGATGACGGCGCACATTCGTATTGCTTGGCGACCTTCACGAAAGAGCGTTTACAATTTCGCTGTTCTTATCCTCCCCACGAACCCATATCTTTGTGGGCCATTTTCTACGGCATTCAATTTTTGCCAGTGCAATTATGCAGATGCATACAATGGACGGCCGTAGGGGAGAGTGGCTGACGGACTGTTATCTGCCCGCGGTCAGAAAACAATAAACCCCATATGGATGGCATGCGACTGGGGGAGCCTCAACCCTAAACACGGGTAACCGCGTAATTTTGGCGGTAGGCCGACAGTTTTCCCTAAACCGTCTTTTGCATGCATTCGCAAACCTGCACTAGCAAAATCTGCATGCGTCAGCTAAAAGCCGAATCTTTGTTGAAGCGAGTAGGGGGGAATGTCGGCGACGGAGAATGTCAGTTCCCCGACCAATCAGAGTTCAGCCGAAGATTCGTTACAGTTCAGAAAGAAATTCAGCCAGAATTGTTGGTGATTTTTACAAGTTTCTACACAGCCAAATCAGCTATATTAGAAAAGTCCTATGGCCCCAGAATTTTTGGGTTAAATAATCTTTTTTGGCCGCTTTTCGGGAGTTACCCTGATAAAGACAGTGTAAAACCTTCGTTACCCTTTTCCTGGTGGTTGGATTTTCTGGAGTCCACCTTGCCCGTGGTTACACATCGCCGCTCGTCGCCATACTGTCGCCATGGACAGACTTCTCGCGCCGCATCCCTCTCAAGCTTTCTCCTGGTCATCCGCCGTCTCACCCGGCGTCCATCGCGCCAACTCTGCAGTTCCCGGAAGAACCGCCCCTCCTTTCAACACTCGTTGCGGACGATTACGGCCGACTCGACGCGTGCGCGGGGTAGTAAAATGCTCGGCGCGCAGGTGAGACGCCGCCGCGGATCGCGCTAGCTGCAGATACACCAGCATCCATGCTTTTCCGCAGCTCCCTCCAGCCCTCTGCGGTCAGTTGCCCTCACTAACGAAATCCCTCCCCCCCTCCTCCTCCTTCCCCCCTCTTACCCCCCCTCCCTCCCCCCCCCCCCCCCCCCCCCCCCACCTTGATCCTGCAACCCCTCCCCCATTCTGTCCATCCCGCCAAATCCTCCCGTCCGCGGCAGCGGGGGCGACGGAAGCGGCGGGGATGCGGGCGGCGGGTTGGTGGGCGCGGTGACGGCAGCAGGGCAGGCGCTGTGGGGCAAAGGGCTGCCGCCGGGGCTCCTCGTGCAGGTCTCTTTGCTCTACTCCTTCCCGCCTGCGCTCCACTAGCAGCTCTCCACCTGCCGAATCTCTTGTGCGAAGCACCACTCCTCACGATCCTGCCCGTACCTCCCATGCTCGCCATGCTCGTCGTGCACCCTGTGGCTGCTCGCGCTGTGTATGCACGCTTGCCCACACACGTGCGAATGACTTGGTTGCAATGCATGCATACGTGCATGCGTGCGTGTGTCGGTGTGCGTCTGTGTTTGTGTGTGCGCGCGCGCGCGTGCGTGTGTGTGTGTGCGTGTGCGTGCGCGCAGGTAGCGCGGGAGGCATGGGGCAGCGGGTGGCGTGTGATGATGGCGCAGCTCGCACCCAGTGACGACGCCGGCAACTACAAGCGCACCCCCAGCGCATACCGCCACACCATTCAACCCCCTCCCACCACTTCCACAGCCAGCAGCAGCACAGGTAGCAGGCAGGCAGGCGCATTCCCATCAGAGGCAGGGCGGTACCATGTGTACGCGGCGCTGTCGTGCCCGTGGGCGCACCGCACGCTCATCGTGCACGCGCTCAAGGGCCTGCACGCCGCTGTCCCCCTCTCCATCGCCCGCCCCGGTGACGGTGGCCTCTGGGAGTTCGTGCCAGCGGGCGCGGGGCTAGGGGAGAATGCGGTGGCGCGGCGAGGGAGTGGGAAAAGGGGTGAGCGGGGAGTGGGAGGGGAGGGAGAGGAGGGAGAGGAGGGGGAGATGCTTGTGCCCACGGAGGACCGCGCGGGGGGGTGTGCAAAGCTGAAGGAGGTGTATGGGAAGCAGGAGGGCGGGTACGATGGGCGCTGCACCGTGCCCATGCTGTGGGACAACAAGACCAAGTGAGCCAGTCCACATGCGTGGGTGGGGAAGGGGCAGAGGGGGGAAGGGTTGGGGGGGGTATTCGGGGAAGGTTGGCTGGTTTGGATCGGGTTGGGAATGGGCGGGATGGAAGCTTTCTCGTCACTTCTACCCCGCGCCTCCATTCTTTTCTCCACGATTCTCTGTCTACCTCATTCCTATCTCTACAAACGCACCCCATATGCCACATTCCTCCCTCCCTGCCTCTATTCCCCTCCTGCCTCACCTCCTGGCTCTCTTTTCTCACCTCCTGGCTCTCTTTTCTCACCTCCTGCCTCTCCTCTCCTGTACAACCCCCCCCCCCCCCATGCGTGCAGCCGGGTGGTGAACAACGAGAGTGCGGACATCATTCGCATGCTCAACGCATCCTTCAATGACTATGCCGCCAACCCACACCTCGACCTCGCACCACCGGAGCTCGCCCAGCAGATGGCAGCATGGGACGAGGAGATCTACAACAACGTCAACAACGGCGTCTACCGGTGCGCTGCCACTGCACTTCTGGCCAAAATTTTCATCCCAGCAGACATGGCTGCTCTTCTGCATGCTATTCTGAAAAATTACATGGCACCATTCTATAATGTCCCAATCCCCGTTCTTCCTCGTCACCTCACCTCACTTGTAACACGACCTCCCCCTCCCCGCTTCTCCACCCACTTCTTTTTCCTCTTCTCCCCGTCCCCCGTTCCCCATCCTCCTTCTCAGGTGTGGTTTTGCCACGAGTCAGGCGGCATACAACAGGGCAGTGAACGACCTGTTCACCACTCTGGACCGCATTGACGCGCACCTGGCCACGTCTCGCTTCCTCTGCGGGCCCGCCCTCACACTCTCCGATGTGCGCCTCTTCACCACGCTCGTGCGCTTCGATGCCGCCTACCACACACTCTTCAATTGCTCGCGCAGGAAGATCGTGGAGTATGACAACATTCATGCCTATGCGACATCTTCCAGGTAATTACCCAATGTATCTCCTCCCCCACCCCCACCTCCTTTCCTCCCCCTCCTTCCCCACACCCCCCCATTTTCCCCCCTCTCGTTCTTTCCCCCCACTTTCTCCCTCCCCCCCCTTGTTGTTTTCCTAGTGTGTTCTTTCCCCCCATTCCCCCCCTTCCTATCCTGCTCAATCCCCTCCCTTTCTGCTTATCAATCCGGTCACCACAATTCTCTGTCTGCGCTTTCTTCTAGGGTTTTTTTTTTTTTTTTTTTTTTTTTTTTACCTGGTTCATACCATAAGTGACTAGTGTATCAATGTCCCTTTGCTGCACACCAGATGCCTGGAGTTGCAGCCACGTGTGACATTGAAGGGGTGCGAGACAACTACTTTGGTCAACTCTTCCCCTTGAACCCTGGGGGCATCATCCCTGTGGAACCTCTCAGCTGTGATCGCTCCCAGCTTTGGAAACCACATAATCGGCAAGACCTTTTGCATGAGTAGATCCAAGAATGGGTACCTGTAATTCTGTTAGACGGGTTATTTCTTTCCTGAATACAAAGAGGTTCCGTTCCACTGAATACTGAAAGGTGCTGAAACGCGGTTTGCTGATAAGGCGCACCTGAAAGGTGCTGAAGCGCGCGCAGATTATTATCGCGCAATATAAGTCTGAAATTTAGGTCTTGTAGCGAAAATTCTCAAATTTTGCGAAGTATGATACCAGGTACGGTAGGCCTGATACCGTACCGTAAGAGGCCGATTGGAACACGCCCTAAGATAAACATCACATTTCAAGGCAATATTGGATAAAACCCATGTCTTATATCCGGGAGGTACCTAAGTAGACAACTTGGAGCACTTCGTGTGAACAATGGCTGGACCAACCTCGTCATAGTCGCTCTTCGTAATACACATCTGCATCACTGTTACGAGTGCAATTGAGTGAACGAACGAGAATTGCACTATCGAAGCAAGAGTACAATGAGCGAAGGCATGAGCGAAGAATATATAGCGAAACTACAGTGGTAACGGAAATGGACTGTGGTTGTTGCGCGACGGGCCTGGGACTGAGGTTGGGAAAAAGTGTCGAAGCGGAGGCCCGAAGCGCGGGTTACCCGCCGAGCCGTGAGGTCGGGGTGCGCTGTGCGAAGGTGGCGGGCAGATTGTCGATGCGAGGGTTGCGAGTGGTAACGGTGCTGACTGTGGTGCTACAGTGATGTACGCGTTGAGCAGGGATGCGAAGTAAGGAAAAGGAATTTTCCTTACACTACCCCCCCCCCCTAAGGAGGTCCTCCTTACGAGAGTGCGTGTACATCCCTGAAATTTTGGCTGCGCAG